TCTATGATTCTATGATTTGGAGAAGTCCCTCACTCGAATGCACAAGGGTGCAGACAGTCACTTTGCTATGCTGAGCAGGGCTCATGACGTTCACAGTTACTCTGGTTGAATATATCTCATTCAGCACCTTGTTCACAAGACTTCCATATTCACTAATATTGCAGGCAAAACAGCCTCGACTCAGGGCATTTTGCATAATTTAATCTATTGGAAGTAAATAAGCAAAAATATTTAATCACTCATTTAGGTATTAAGATCAAGAAAACAAATTACTAAATAAAAACCTCAGAGAAATGCCTGCCTTCCCTCTCCCCAGGCTCATCTTCTGTCCAAAATCTTCTTAGCCCCTTCCCAATCTGCACCCTCAGGGGTCTCCCCAACCATCATGGGTTACACACAGCCTGCACTCCCTCAGAGTGTCCCTGCCCTGGTGTGGGTCACCCTCATGTGGGCACTCTACCCAGCAAGTATGTCCTTCCAAGACAGTGTCACCAGCCAGCTCCTCAGCAATGTCCCCCACTACACATCCTCCATGTCATTTCTCCAAACGCATCTCTTCACATCTCTTCTCGAGTCCCATTTTTGCACCCTCACATATTTCCTTCTGTGTGGCCTCAGTGCACCCTCACATATCTCCTCTAATATCTCCTGTGCCAGCAGCTACTGCTCTTTTTAGCATCTCTTTGAGTAAAGGAGCCATGTTTTGGGGCACTGTGGGCTGTTTCCACCTGTAGCCAAGCCAGCTGGACCAGCCCAGGGTGCCCTGCAGCTGCTGCCTTCCAAACCCTCTATTCATTCCTAATACAACTAAGTTATGCCCAACTGTGCAAAAACATAAGCGCTGCTCTTCAAAGCCGTTATGTGACTTACATATACGACTGCAGGATCTTGACTTGAATTAAACATGCATGAATGCACTGTTCAACTTCCTATCACCATCCCTGCAATAAAGAATTTTTTTTAAATCTATTAAATTGTTGGGGTTTAATAACTGAATAAATTTTAATCCCTTGAATTAATTAAATCGTCAAAACTATGAATCACTCAGCATAGTAACTAGTACCTACCACTGGTCTCTAATACTCTACATACCGATACTTCTTGTGACATATTCCCAGTCCTAAACTGCACCCAAGTCACATCACTAGGCAGATAAAAAGACATAAAGAAACCTTACAAGCTCTGAAAATTACTTTTCTGAAAAGATATCTTTTAAAGAGCTTTCTATTCTGAAATTTAATTTACTGAAATACTTCCAAAATGAATATTTTTCTTCATTGTTGCAATGCAATCCAGGAAAAAAAAAAGTGCATAATCAATTGTAGAAAAACAGTGCTGCACCTTATTTTTGTTGCACTATAATTAGAAGTCTTGCTCTCCAGAGCCAAACCCATAATCGCTAATGACTTCCTAGGAAAAGTAAAACTCACAGGGCTAGGAAAACCATCAAGAAGCCATTTAAGACAGTCCTCCATCTTAAACAATTTCACTTCTTAAATTTAACCTTTGACAACTTTCTATCTTCAAAGGATATTGAATCAAAGATCTCCTAAATCTTCTTCTCTTACTCTTCTTTTAAGTACAGTAGTACTTAAAATTGCATCTCATTTTCTGCCTTTGCCTTTCAGCTTTCATCTCAAGACATTCTTCCTGTGGTCACAGGTAGTTCTCACTATCCGTGTTTCTTGCTTGAGCTTCAGGTTCGAAAAGAGCTCACCATTTGGTGAAAACTTTTTGTCTTTCCTGTCTTTCTGGTTCCTGCCATTTCTTTACAGACCACCTACTTTCTTCAATTCCTTTTTCTACTAGGCAAGAGAACTTTCTTCCCAAGTCTGAATCTGTTGGAGACTGACTGCCAGAAATATGTTGTTTTAATTTTCCTGTTCTTCCCATCTAAAGGTTTACAAACCTTAAGTAACTGTTTCCCAAGTTATCTTTCTTTGTTGCTTTGTCAACAGTTCATCCCAGATGCCTGGGAACAGATGTAGAAGATTCTTGGTTGTTTGGGTTTTTTTTTAAAAAAAGTATCCAAAAAACTGTCTATACATATTCCAGTAATTTGCTGCACAATATACTGTGTAGCTAAAAATCTCCATTGCCACCCCAGTAGTGGTGATTCTGTCACTTACCGTCAAGATGTTTTATTCTCTTTCTTGCCCCTGCTTTAATGTTAAATTTATTCCTCAGGCTTGTCCATGTAGGGACTTACAGGATCTAATGGGAACTTCATGGTATCCCTGCCTGGGTCCTCTATGGTCTTCTGCTCCCTGAGCCTTTGGACCTGCTCTGGGCCATTCCCAGGACTGCTGTTAGTAGAAAGAGATGGAAAAGTCCTGACAGCCCTCAACAACATCTCACCCTCAGGCTCCTGGGAGCCAGTCTGCTTGCCACCATGTCAGGTCCAAATGAGACTGAGATATTTCCATTGCTCAGAGGACAGAACTAAATACAACCACAGTTTCCACCTTTTATTTCCTCCTTAGTCCTGAACCTCACAGCCTTGGGCCACACAGACTTTCTTCTCTATTGCTGTAATATTTTGCCCCACAGGCCTGAGTCACTTTGCCTGCTCATCTACACCATTTCTGACTCAGGCAGGGTTTCTTGGTGTTTAACTTCTTTATAGTCCCTATATGACATCTGTACAGCATTTATGGGCCCAAAGCTGTGCCTACAGGTGTGTGGATGTTAACAGACATCCAAAGCACTTTATTCTACCCTTAATTCTCTATTCACTTTTCCTTTGGTTCATAATATCTTCAATCAGATAGGAGAGAGAGGAAGAAAGAAGGAATACACTTCCAGAATGAAGCCAAATAAGCCAACCTCTTTTAAGATTTGAGAATGAAGCCTGACAGGCCAGTGATGTTAAAAGCCCCTGCACAGAGGATAGCTGAGGGACGGCATGCTGACCCCTTGGCCGGAATGATGCACATTAGTATAATTACACCCCAACTTTGTCCCAAAACCTAGCAAGGGTTACTGTGTTGTCTTTTTGAAATTGTAGTCATAAAATTAAGTCAGCTGTGGGCAATATATTCAGCTCGCTTTCACATACACACTGCAAGCCTTGTTACCACAGCCTCACAAAGCATCTCTTGAAAAAGGAATACAAGATGCTCTTTGTAAATAAAAGTTCATGAGTCTGAGGAATGAAGTCATTTTCCAAAATCTCAGTGAACTATATTCTTTTTCACGAGCCAACAAGAAGCCAAGAGGTGGGCTTGAGGGAAAGGATCTGAATGAAACATGTTAGAGAAACCACTTAGCCCTATTAGCCCATGGCACAGCCAGGCTCTCTCCCTCCTCCTCCTCCTCCCACCCACAGCTTCCCCTCCCCCATGCCAAAAGACAAGGTTAGTCTAGCGGGTTTTTTTAATAAATTTGGCACCTCTCTACCTTCCTCTGAATAAACTGGAGATGTTAAAAAATAAACAGTCACGAGAGTCAATGCTTCACATGAAGCAGTCGGATAGAGCCTGTGGGGGGGAAGGGGGTGGTGTGGGGAGAGGAAAGGGTGACCTCACTTTCTGAACAGCAAAGTTTGAGTGGGAGGGTCTCAACACGAAAGGTAAAAAAGGGAATGATGTGAACATGTGAAGGAAGCCAGAGCACTGAGCAGAGCGTCAGTCTGTATCCTGACAGAGGGAGATAAGGTGGCTGGGGAGCCAGCGGTGCTTTCCTGGAATACAATCTCTGTTTGACACTCTCTGCTTAAGCACTGCCCATCTGTATGTTATTGAGCTGGAGCCTCTGGGGAAAAAGAGGAGCCACAGGCACAGAGAGTGAACGAGGGAGGCAGCAAAGGCGCTTTTCTTCCCTTCTTTTCCTCCTTTTTTTTTTTTCCCCTCTTTTAAATAAGGATCTGGTTAGACTGCCTTGAAGTGCCACATCTGGAAACCGAACGCTGAAAGAAAGTTAAAATAACTGAGGCACCACTAAGCCAAGGGGGGCTGATTGCAGAAGAGGGTAAACAATTACTGAGACGCTAGAAGACCACTGCTGGATGTAAGGGGACGAAATGGCTTTGATCTCCGCCTGGCCCCTCATTTCTCCTATATTATTATTTTTGAGATGCTTCTCCTCCAGCACAGCCTCGAGTGAGGGAGGCGTTTTCCAATTTGACATTGAAGGTAGCTCAGCGGTCAGCACGCAAGAAGCCACTGTTATCAGAGGGCAGCAGCAGGCAGTAGCTACTGGAAGTTGGGTGCCTTTCGCTGAGGTACAGTAACTCCCTTCTCTCTCTAGTGTCTGTGCTTTTCTGCTTTCAACTGTCTGTCTTGAAGCTCACATCTGGTTAACGTTAGCTTAATCATTCGATCCTTAAAGCGATACCAGAGATTTTTTTGCAGGGGTCTGAGTCGTTGCATTTCGGGACTGGAGAGATACGGTTCAGACTTCAAAATGTACACATGCCCTGCCTGCTGTGAGCAGACAGCTGCTGTACTCTGCCACTGAGGCTGGCTTAGCACATCTCTAACTTTCCTGCCAACATAACAAAACAGGCCTGTCTAAACAGAGCTGTTTTACAAGGGTTTATTGTCACAACGCTTTTCTGCATGCCTTGTTGTAGTTCCTGGAATTGTAATTCCCTTAGACTTTCAGAAAGTGTTTGTCTTTTGGTGGCAAACACTGTACTGTAGAAGTTTGTGCTTTTGCCTCTGAATGCCATCTGCCTCCAAAATCTGAAGTTTCTTTTCACAGGGAGAATGGGGCTAATAAATCAAATGCATGTAGGAAACTGCATGCAGAGAAAACACCTGCGGAGATTTTAAGACTTCCAAAAAGTATGAGGTTGGGATTAGTGGCAAATTAAATCAGAGAGATCTGGGAAGCAGTTTGACGGTTGAAAATTTTGCTGCAGACCCTAGGTTTTGGGATTAGTTGATACTCCTCATTCTAGCAAGGCTGCATTCAGAATGGACTACTCAAAAATACAGCCTGAGAAAACAATAAATCACTCCAGCATACACGGGGAGGTGGGGATAGTAATGTCTCATGTGTGGGAGATGCAAAGTAGGAGGCAAATTGAGTTACATAAGGTCATGAGAAGGGAAAGAACATCCAAAAATGAGGTGAGATTAGCACAGCCATGTCACTGTGACAATATCAAGATTGCAATCTCCAATATCACACAACTAATTTTCCCCCTACGCCTCAATTACCAGAACTAACAGCTGTGGTAGTAAGTGCACAAGCCCTTCAGAGAGCCAGTGTTACTGTGGGGCTGGGCAGAGATCATCTCCTGCTGCAGCAGCTCCAAGCAGCTGGGCAGCCTAGGGAATCGCCTGCCCACCCTCCCAGGGTCTCGGCGCGAAACATGACCTGTGTGAGAAAACTGGAGGCTAAGCCCTGCGCTGCTGAGCGTAGGGGCTCTCAGGAGCTGTCCCGGGCTTGGACAGGCTCCGTGGTGTGGGACATACAACTCTTCTCCTCTGGCCTGGGATCAGCCCCAGGAAGTTGCATTGCCACCTGTTGCTTACAACATGGAAAGTCTCTCAACGAAATGCCTGGTTTAAGAGCCAAGTGGGTTTTGTAGCTGCTTTTCACAGGGTAGTGGGCACAAGTGATTGTTGGCCTTTCTTGATATGATTGTCTAGTATGGTTTTCCCAAAGACACAATGCTTCACTTAACTATATTAAACTTTACCTTGGGAAGGTGCTGTGAGATATATTGGACACTGTAGGATAATGACATTTTAGACTCCTTCACCCATTTCAGTCAGTACAGTCCGATCTAATAGACTTGATAACTGGTGTTTGTTCTGACAGTTTACTTCAGCCCCTGCAATGGCATCATTTAGACTCTGGGTCCCATGTTACGAACAAACGGTGCTGCCTGCTATCATCAGGCCAAGGCCCTTGGCTGCAGGATGTTATGGTTTCATGAGGAAGAAGCCAGGATTTCAGGCCCCTTTGTTAGCTGCAGAATAACTTTATATTGCGGTTCAGGGCCACCTCCATGGCAATTTCCAAGGAGATCCAGTAGGATAGGGCCCTTTTGGGATAGGGCTGATGGTGCTGTAACAGTGACAACCTGCTTACCCATTGATCCACATATATAGTGGGTAACAAGAGCTGAGGAACTGTCACTAAGCCCTGAGATTGATGGGGCCAGAGAGCAACGGTCTGGGAATCTCACAGCCCAGCAAGGAACATTTCCTTTGGTCCTCAGAGATATTTCCCCGTCATAGCCCATCTTCCCTCACTCACCCCTGGGAACAGGGTTTATGTGAGGAGATTTGAATTAGCCTCTTTCAAAGCCCGGGTTCTTAACCCACAGCTGACGGTGAACCACAGAGTAAACTCCCTTACACAGCGCGGTTTGACCCAGCTCCTTCGTCTAAATATTGACTCAGGCCTACAGCTCTCCCAAGCAGACAGAGGCTGTTAGTCACATTGAATAGTGCCAAATCATACAAAAGGGGCAGATTTACAAGGCAGAGTTACAGAGCTGTGGATGGTGCTTCATGGTGGACTGTGGTGCCAGTCAACCACCACCGTAAAGCCAGAGCACAGACCAGGACAGACAGAAACCACCATGTTTTGGCAGGTGGGGCAGGTGCTGGTCTGCATTTGCACCACACATAATTCTGCTCCACACAACCTCTTCAGAAATTTGCAAGGTCTGAAACAGTATTGGTGGGGGTTTCCAAGCTGTAACTGATGGGTTGCTCTTAAATCTCGGTAAAAGTTCGGTATTATGAACGTATGGAAGAACAGGAGACCCCAGTTAGTGTAAATAGATATTAGTGAATATTCCTCTCCTTTCCTATTTTTGGCAACCTTAAACTCAGAGAAGCGGTTTAAAAATTCAGAATTAATGTTAATGTGGAGCTTTTCAGTGCCTTGGATTTGTATGAAAGCCTCTGGATGGCAGAGAGAACTAACTACTTTTTCAGTGCTACGCAAGTATGCTGTACCCACTCACAGAGCAGACCATGGGTATGAGTTGGACCTCAGCAGCAACCAGTTTTGGTTGTTAATCAATGTGTGATCCAGTACACCTAAATTAGGTACACAAACTCTGCTTAAACCTTTTCAATCCAAAAATTAACATGCACTGATTTCAAGTGACTTCAAACTCAAATTTCCCATACAACAATGGAGACACCTCTCCTGAAAGCCCTCAAAGGAGCCTCTTCCTCTGTAAGGACTGTGTTGGGTATGTTCAGGACAGCATCATTAATCAGCTAAAGGCTGGGGCACAAAATGTAGAAATTTAAATTAACTGGACTAGATTCCAGCCAATGAAATGTTACCTGCATAATGAGCATTGGTAGTTACCATCATAGAACCACAGAATCATGTAATAATGTATCTAGCTCTCTGCCTCTGTTTCAAGAAAAATGCTTATAAATTGATGAAAATGATTCAGAAAAGTATCATGAGAAATACTGCTGTGTTAGGAATTGGAAGATAGCTGAGAGTCTCTACAACCCAATCTGCTTAGTTCAGTGGAAGGTTAAGAAAAAACTCATCATATGCAACAACTGGAAACGGAGGATGACCCTGTTCAGACTGCAAGTTACAAATTTTAATTTCAAAGGTAATTAAGCACTGGAGACTTTATCCAGTTGTGTTGAATTGTCTATCAGGAGGCAGATCAATATGAAAAACACCTCAAGTACTCAGTTGCTTCTGTGTTGTTCAAGATGATTAAGTTCCTTGGCTCACGAAAACAATAAGGGCATGCAAGGGAGATGTTACAGTGCCGAATCTCGATGTGATGGGGAGACTGTGAGAAACAGAAAGAGAATGAGCACAAAGCATTGGATTCGGTGCATTAGTATAACTCGACTGCAGTCAACAGCACGAAGCCAGAGAATGATTTTTCCAAATAAGGATAGATTAAAATATTTTACAAGGAAGATTTATCAAAGATGGAAGCAAAGGATTTAAAACTGACAGATATCAAATGAAAGGAAATGAGAAAATGGCAAATATCTGAAATCTTTGGTTTGGGGTTCCATATGTTAGCTTGGACACAGCAGAAGGAAAGGGAGTGGTGAGACACTTCCAGTTTTGGTGAGGTACAGAGTCAAAACTGAAACCCAGGAGAAACTTCGGAGAACACTTATAACCCACTGTCAAACATATGCCTTTAAAATAAGAGGCAGGTCATATTTGGGTCTGAAGCCTGTCACTGACAACATCTGTGTTTGTAAATTCCACTGGTTTAAATTATATAGATTTATATAGATGTAGATGAAAAAAAACAGTAGGAAGAAAGTTCCTTGCAAACAGTGGAAGAGTGCAGAGTCTAAGGTGAGCATGAACAATGGTACAAGGCATCAAACACTAGAGAATATGGCAAATGATTCTCTGTGATTGGAGTGTGCAGCCATTTGCTTCAGTGTGAAATGAATGTGAGGTGATATCCAGAAGATTTGTTTCATTCTGATGTGAATGACTACATGAGGTAAAGAAAATAGTGAAGAGAGCTCAATATAGGAGATGGGTGTAGGAAGGATTACTGGAAGAAAGGGAAGATAGACATTTTGTGGAGACATTTGCCAAACAAGAAAAGAAGATTTCAGATGTCCTCTATGGAAAGGAGAATTGAATCAAGTAGTGGGAAAGGAACCAAGCTAAAGCAGGAAGAAGACAAAGGAGAGGGGGGAAAAAAAAAAAAAAGAGCATGAATGAGATAATCAAAAGCCTTAAGGGTAAAGAAAAAAATGAAGTAGTTGGGACAGGGCAGGAAGCCAATTCCCAGAGTGAAGGAAGGCATGATACTGTTGGACGGATAGAAGAGGAAAACTGTTTCCAGCATCAGTGTTTTTGGCTCAGAGGAAAGGCAGAGAGGCAAAAGAAGTCCTTTAAAGGAAACCATTATCATAATCAAGGCAAAAATAGCCATTTACTATAAGAGACTGTAAGAGGCAGAAGTGGTCTGGTGGAGCTTGCATGTTAAAATTACATGTTTGACAATCATTTTTTCTCACCTGACTTCTACCAGCATCTGCTGATCTAAATTTTCAAAAGGAAGAAACAGTATTTGAGGTGCTTTCTTTGTGGTTCTCTAAAGCGATAAGCAATAATTATCATGGGACTTATTAAAAACTCACATCTCTAAAATGGCATATATAAAGTATATAAAGGAGAAAAATCAAAAGTCCCAGTCACTTGTTAAGCAAGACTCAGACTATCAGCAAATTGCCTTCACCCCTTCCCGCATAGAGATTGGAACAGAAAGTCTTGCAGACTGTTTAGAGAAAC